CGTCCCCTTCTGTCCTCCCCTTCCATGCTATGAAGCAGATGGCGTTCGCGGAGAACGACCTTATCGATTTCCTGGTTTCGCGGATGTCCCGATACAAGGATTACCAATTATCTAACGATCAAGAGACCTAAGACCTATCTTTCTTCACCCCAAGCCTCTTCCCATGAACCATAAGAGCCTCGTGTCTGCTGAAATATATATGTTTGCGTCTAACAGCTTATGGGTGCTATCAATGTCTCTGAAGAATGGGGTTGTCATCAATTTGAGCACAGAAATAAAAGGTGACTGTGAACACGGGTTCAATTCCATTCACAGTTTTAAGTATGATACATTGGTCACTTTGGAAATAGTTACAGTTGGTTGTTTAGGGTTTTCGATTTACACGCCACAGTTGGTGTTCGAGCTACTGAATCCTGTCCCACGCCCATTGAGGAGGAGAGAGACAAGTGACTGTATGCAAACATCAATGAGAGGGTACCCGGTAGGATAGATACACGCTCTTGGTCGGCAACATGGCGTTGAAGCGAGTGGATGACATATATATTGTGAGTGAGTTAGCTTTAACGCTGTCTTGAACATTGCCAGGTGTATGCTACCGACCAAAATGTCCACTGGTGAAATTATACTGAAGATGTAATGACGATAAATGTCTATAAATAGTACATGTCTGGGCGGTGGGGTAACCTAGTGGATAAAGCCTACGCCCGGGTTCGATTCCCAACATGGGTACAATGTGTGAAGCTCACATTGCTGGAACATGGCTAAACACGCCGCACTTTGTAATATTCCAGCTATGTGGTGGCGGTCTGTAAATAATCGAGTCTGGACCAGACAATCCAGTGATCAACAGGATGAGCAACTGGGATACGATGACTTGTGTCAACCAGCCTATCGAGCCTAACCACCCGATCCCGTTAGTCGCCTCTTACGACAAGCATGGGTTGCTGGAGACCAGTTCTAACCAATATCTTCACGGTAACACGTCAATGGCATACGATCTATTAACTTGCGTATTGATGCTCATTCCGCATGATATAACTGGAATATTGCTGAGTGCGGCGTAAAACTGAAGTCACTCACTCACTCACTCACTCATTCCGCATGAATAGCAACTCCAAGCTGGGCCATGTTGGCGGGTGTTGGGTCTCTGGCGTCCACACTCCGCCCCTAGATATCCCTCACATGCTCCAGTTGGGACTTGTCAGGAGTAGGGCTGCGCAATATAACCGGTTTACGGGTATTTACCGGTTCAGACATGAAAACGATATGTATTGCGATACGCTGATCAGAAACCGGTATTTCGACTTGCATTTGGAAAACTTCGTAACACTCGGAAATATTCGGATATTTCCTTGTTTCATTTGTGCCAAATATTATTTACATTTTTATTTTGTCATGATTAAAGGTTGTTGTTAAAGGTTAATCAAGCATACTTATTTTGTTGTGTTTTTGCTTTATAAACCAAGCATTAACTCGATCATAAGTAGTTTTATGTTTAAAAATACTTCTTCCAATATATTGCAATACATATCGCAATATGTGCTTTCGCATCGCAATATATCGCAATAAGAAAATTCTCTGCAATACTCAGCCCTAGTCAGGAGACTTTCACCACGAACTGGGGCCGGTGAAGATCATTCTTGGGAATCGGAATAAAACGACAATAGGACGCAGATTTCGTGAAAATACCGTTAGCCAGACAAATGGCAATTCAAAATAACCAAATCAGTTTGTTTTTCATGTGTGATACCGTCTCACACTTGAACTTCTTGCACGATGAAGATGCACGTGGCCACAGTCTATTATGTAGTCTGTAGTATGTCCCCTACTGCCTCACCCTCTCTGCAGTGCTAAAGCCCTAAATAAAGCAAGTCTAAATTCCCTCAGGTTCTGAATCTCTGGTCTCCTTGGGGCTCCTTTTCAATTTAATGGGTTTGTTTGTTACTATCAAAATTGTATATATTCAGAGAGTTAGTCTGTCTAATCTGATGTGAGGGGCGGTGGGGTAGCCTAGTAATTAAAGCGTTCACTCGCCACGCCAAAGACCCAGGTTCGATTCCCCACATGTTGAACACGTGTGAAGCCCTTATCTGGTGCCCCCTGTCGCCATGTTACTGGAATATTGCTAAAAGCGGCTTAAACCCATACTCAGTCAATCAGTCAGTATTCTGAGGTCACGTGATAATATAACACCGGTCGATACTGTCTGATTGCAAACGTTAATCCCACCACGTTTCGGGCGTTCGAGCCTCTTCAAACGCGTGTCTACAGCAACTTCAAATAGGTACACGTTAAACCGGTCTTATAATATCAGTGCAACTAAGCATAAACATTAATTAATTCTGGCTCCTTGTTCTTTATCCGACTTCCGACCCAGACAGACATGCGAATTCAATCCTAACTTAACGAACCCCAGAGCAACGTATGCGCATGTCCGTATAAGTTAAGTCGGTATTAGCTGGTATATTAATCCTTACATCCTAGGGCCAATGAGCGAGTCAAAATCTATTCTTGGGGAAAATACTAATGTATACATTTTTATGTATGTTGTGTTCGTGCAAATGGTATTGTTTCTTAACTTATAAAATACCAAAATGTTAAACCTTTTGTTTCTTTGAAATTAAAGAATTTTTCAACATAGGGTCACTTTGAAACAATTATTGAACTTTCCATTGTTCCCCCTTAATGTAAGGGGCGGTGGGGTAGCCTAATGGTTATTTAAAGCGTCCGTTCGTCACGTTGAACACCCGGGTTCGATTCCCACCATGGGTACAATGTGTGAAGCCCATTTCCGGTGTCCCCTGCCGTGATATCGCTGGAATACTGCTAAAAGCGGCGTAAAACCATACTCGTTCACTCACTCACTCCTTAAGGTAAGACCCGTGAAGATCTGGTTTAGAACTGGTCTAAAGCAACCTATGCGACTAACGGGATCGGGTGGTCAGTCTCCCTGACTTGGTTGAGACATGTCATCGTAGCCCAACTACGTGGATCGATGCTCATGATGTCAGTCTAAATTCAAGTGGCACCAATTACGTCATAATCAAAGGGCGGTAACTCTGGCCTGTTTAGCTCGACAAACAAGGGCCGCATAATGGCATAACATTTCAGCACTTACTAGTATTTTGAGGGTTATACTTTCATTGTAAGAAAAATGAGTGTATAACTTCAAACATTGATGTTAAATATTTAAAATATCTCACTTTGTTTCACAGAAGAATAAATGTGATTTTATCGTGTACACTTCCCCTTTAAGCGTAAGCTCGTCACGTCGAATATCCGGTTCGTCCCAATATGGGTACAGTGTGTGAAGCCCATTTCTGGTGTCCCCCAGACCCAAGGGAATGAAATGAAACCAACTCAGAGGGGAACTGGTTGTTTGTTTGTTGTTTAACGCCGCACTCAACAATATTCCAACTATTATGGCGGCGGTCCGTAAATAATCGGGAGTCTGGACCGACAACCCTGTGGCATAGGCATCGATATACGCAGTTGGGATACGATGACATGTGTCAACCCAGTCAGCGAACCTGACCACGTGATCCCGTTAGTCGCCTCTTACGACAAGAATGGGTTGCTGAAGACCTGTTCTAACCCGGATCTTCATCGGGTACAAGGGGAGCTGAATGATGCGTACTCAAGCAAAATCGTACCAAGACTTTATTGGTGGATGACGCGTACACCAAGACTTTATTGGTGGACGGGTACCCAAATATTGGACAACTCGTACACACTCGTACCTAAACAACGCGAGGACTCGAACCCCCGGAAAACCGGATCCGTGCCCAATGAAAAGATAGTGTTTGTATCCTGAACAACATCAGTGACCTATGATATGCAATGACCCGGAAATGATATTTTACACTGTGGATATCGTGGCGACCCAGATTCTATAGATTATAATCCGGAAAATCCGTGTATAATTTTTTTTTAGTAATTTCAGCCGCTTCCCATAAGGCATGTTCACAACGGATGTCCGTCTCGTTAAGGACTTTGTTTAGTGTTACATTTAACACAAGAATAGTTCAATCATCGAATGTGAAAAAAATCGTGTTACCCCGTTCGACTTTCAAACCTACTCGGCCAAAATGAGTTAACTCAATTTATTCAATCGAAATATTACCAAAAGAAATAGGACAGAATGCCTTTACGAATGTGATAATGATTTAATCCACATATAACACATGTTACCACATACGAATTCTCCCAAACAGAAACGAATATCACGAACGAATATTTTGGTTTGAGTTAACCATTTTCGAATCGCCGTGGGTACAGATGGTCTTGCGACCAAACTCAAGTCTAGAATGATTTGGCATGTCTAAAACTTTGTCATGTCACTGTATCCCAATTGCGTAGATCGATGCTCATGCTGTTGGTCACTGGATTGTCTGGTCCAGACTCGCTTATTTGCAGAACGCCGCCATAATATAGCGTGTGGAGTAAAACTAAACTCACTCACTAAATCTTTGTCTAATTCCTGAAATACAGCATCGCTCAATGCTCTAATTTGATTTGCTTTTAGTTGTTTTGTACTTTATAAAAAAATTTAATGTCATATTTTTGGGTGTGTGCGTGTATTAAACAGATAACTGTATCTGTGGGACTAAATGGCAGAGTTCAGAAAACGTGATCAACTTGTTTACGACTGCCTGCCTTTCGAATTCCGCACAACAAACTTATTAACAAATTACGTCATAAATAATCCTGCATCTCCATCTGTCAAATGTTATTTAGTTCGATGCTTTTCACCGTCTGTTAATGTACTGACAGTTCAATGGCACACTTAATCAATTGCTTTAATTCAAATATCGGTCATTTTAAGCCACATTATGTTTGAAAGTGTTTTGTCCAGCAGGGAATCCCCGCTCGAGAATGTGTCTATTTTTAGAAGTTCACGACTGTTGGCCTTGACCTTCACTGTAACGAGGTTATTCCCGCCATTGATCCAATCCCGTACTGTTTGGACTTCGTAGTTCATCCTTCCATTTTATTTTCAGTATGGCCGATTACCTAATCACAGGGGGAACCGGTTACATCCCCGACGATGGTCTGACGGGTGCTCAACTCTTTGGCGGCGGCGATGGAATGACTTACAAGTAAGTAGACATATAGTCAATGATCGTAACGTGGTAGACACGTGGGCCCTATCTCAGCTATCTGGACATGTGGAAATTTCTAGTTCTGAATGTAAACAATATGACCACTACGACGCTTGTATTGTTTAGAATACTCGTAAACAGTGTATTTATGATTAGAGGATAAATTCAATTTTTCCAACCGTACACGAATCAGTTCAGTGAAATATTTCCTCGTCGACGTAAACACCTGGTTCTAAAAATAATTGGAATCGACGTGACTCACTCATGACAATGCTCTTGAAACCCTACCTGGCACTCCTTGTTTATTTGCTCGTTGCGATAGCACAAACATTTTGATTATTTGTGTTGTGTTTATATCCTGGTTCAGGTCGAACACATCCAATTACTGTTCTTTTCAACAAATGTTTTCTGCATAGATGGATCTCATGCCGAACACAAAACACCTTTTTTAAAAGTACAGTACGTTGGCAACAGGGGGATATACTACAGTTTTGTTCTTTGAACTCTAAAGTCATGTCACTTACACTGTACAGTCCGTTTGAGTCAGAAACGGACCGATGAAATGCAAATTTTATCATTGTACAAAATTGCCACATAAATATAAATAGTACACATGTTTATCATTTGCTAATACCCAACAGCTTTCTTATATTTGAAAATTTTCCGGACTCCACCAAAAAAGTTCTTTAAGAAACTATCATTAAAATTTTGACACAGTTCACTATTTTGTTAGGAGGGAGGAGTGCAGAGAAAGGGACAGCCAGATGTTAGAGAAGCACATGCACAAGTGCCCACCAAGTTATTGATTCGTTAGCCTGTGCTGTGCCGTCTCCATCCTTTCTTGCACACCTAGCTGTCCTGTCCTAAAAATCTATAAAATATTAAATCTTAAAATCTATACACTGAATTCAGTTATGAAGTCTGAATGAAACATAATCTGAGACTGAATCAGTGTCATTTCTATTTGAAGAAATATTCAAACTCAAAGTGTGAACACTCTCATTTTGAGGGCATTCACTTAAAAGTTAAATAATTTACACATTTATTAACCCCATTAAAAGTTGGAGAATGTACACAATTATCAACATGTTACAATTCGTATGTTTGTGTGTCACAAAGAAAAAACCCAGTGAAGATCCAGGTTAGAATTGGTCTTCAGTTGCCATGCTTGTCGTATGATTTGCCCGCACACCAGTGTTACCGAATGCTTAAATCACTCGACAATGTAGGAAAAAGAAACTGGAAAATTCTGATAATCGAGAAACATTGTTCAAGATAGGATTCGCACATGTATGGATCGCACGGGATGTCGGAGATGTAAACTATTTCTTATCATGTTTTAAACGGCGCCTCAAAGATCTATCACTCCAAAACTGGCATCATGAGATAAACAGTTCAAGTTTCCTTACCCACTATGCTTCATTCAAGTTTTCTCTGGAAAGGGAATCATACATCACGAATATCAGGAACAAACAGCTAATAAGAGTTTACTTCAAATTTAGAGCTTCCCTAACAAACTTCAAGATAAACAAGCTAAGAACCAATAAAGATCCAACGACGATCAACCCCATCTGTGAACATTAGTGGTGGTCCGATTAATTGAAATAATCAAAGATTGGTCGCAGTGACTAAACGACCAAGCAATCGAACATGTTTTCTCATAATCGAACACGACCAATCTTTGAACACTTGTTTGCATTAGCAATATTTTTCACAAGGCTGGTTTTGTCTGTATCATTAACTTTACATTTCATAAGCACTACATGTACAAGCTCGTTCCAAGTTATGATTGAATTTATCTTAAAGAATCCAGGAAATATGTGTTCCTAACATACTAATCATCATTTAAATATGCAAAATTTGCAAATGGACTTTATGCAGTTTGCAAAAAACACCCAAATTACTACATATTTTTTTCTTTATTTTTGTGTGCATTAACACAAATAACAGGTACATTTGATAAATAACGCTAACCAATTATTTTCGATGATTGATCGGTTGTAATGGACCAATCATCAATTATTAGATTTTAACCAATTCCCAACACTAGTGAACATTGTAATTATAACCTTAATGAAGATGAGAACCACATATATTTTTGTTTGTGACAAGTATAATCAAGCCAGAACTCTATATCTACAGAAGCCACGATCAGTCTACACAGGCCCACTAACCATTCAGGCAATTTTCATGTCACAAATCAATAATGTACAGCAGCTAACAGCGATCTACCTCCATGAAATATTCAAAAAATGATCTATATGAAAGTAAAATGTTTATGATCACGTGAAATTTATATTGTATCGGTCAACTGTATTATAGGCCTTATGGCCCAAATACTACTGAATAAAACTTCTTCTTCTTCTTCTTCTTCTTGTATGAGGTGATTAATGGGATCGGGTCGTCAGGCTCACTGACTTGGTTGACACATGTCATCGTATCCTGATTGCGTAGATCAATGCTCATACTATTGATCACTGGATTGTCTGATGCAGACTTGATTATTTACAGACCGCCGCCATATAGCTGGAATATTGCTAAGTGTGGTTTAAACAACAACCAACCAACCAACCACAATGAAAAAGTCTACTGGTTATGAACAGAATGAAGATTTGGCCATTTAGCATGGATTAACATGTGTAACACTATTTATCATGTACACTTGTCAGATATGTCAAGCTTGTCAAAATATGACCAGCTAAGCAGATTATGTGCATGAAAACTGCTGAGCTAAACAGGTTGTTAGTCGCATGTCCATGAGAACTGCTGAGCTAAACAGATTGTTCGTCGTTCATCTGCCCTTAAAACCAGGCAGGATAAGGGGAGCCGGCAGACAGACCAGCAGAAAAGCAAGCCAGGGATTAGAAGAGATGAATACTGACCAATTAACTGTTACCAATTCATTAACAAATAACATTCATAAATGTGTAATAGCTTACGATGTACCACTGATTATATTTTAAGGTCTGTCACGATTTCAGATCAATTGCTTCAATTGCTTAACAACCCCATCTTCCTCTAAAGCTGTTATCTATGAATGTATGAAATCTAATTATAATAATTCTTTACTGGGACGTAAATTTAGGAGTGAGTGAGTTAATATCTAACGTCACATGCGTAAATTTAGGAACAAAGCACTGTAATATTTTATTCAAATTTAAAATCGCCAAACATAAATTACCTATTGAAACAGGTCACTGGAAAATATTCCCTCAAATAAACGATATTCAATTGTCCATCATATCCCTCCCAAATCGGAGATGAATTTCATTGTTTATTTCAATGTACTTAATTTAGTGCTTCCGGAAATACGTATTTAAAGAATTATTTTGTAAACAGTCCTAACTATTATAAAATGTCAGCCCTATTTGAAACTCATAATTTAAAGCTATTACAAAATCTATGTAAATTTCTTTCCATTATAATGTCTGTCAATGTGACATGATTAGTTTATCCATACGTAATTGCTGGATCTGTTTCAAGCCATTGTCTCAAATGTGAGATATTTTTGAAAAATACCTCCATAATGTTTTGCATGTATTTGTAAACTTATGGAAATAAAGTTGACTGATTGAGCACCATACACTGGGTTTCCCTTAAGTGCTAATGGCCTGCATCACCACAAGCTCTGATGTAACATAACCCCAGGCCTACCATACAAACGGTGAACAAGTCATCAAAACTGATCTCATATACACCAAAACAGAACAGAAATCACCAAAACTGCAACAATATCCTCTAAAACCAAAACAATACATCTGTAATGGAAGACTAGTCGTTTGAAATGGAAACAAAACTCGCGTATCAGCTACAAGAGCGAGCGAGAACGGTTGCCGAGCGCACAAAACGGCATTAATAGCATCCCAACACGGCAGTCATAGCATCCCGAAACGGCATACAAATCATCAAAGATGGCAGCGAGTGGAGACGAATAGGCTTTGGTACATAATGTTTTTCGTGGGTTATCCTACTGATTACAGCTTTCACTTGTTACGACCGCCTCCGTTGTTCAGTGGTTGGAGCGTCCGCCCAGAGAGCGGAAGGTTTAGGGTTCAATCTCCGGCCGCGTCATACCAAAAGACGTTAAAATATGGTACTTTTTGGTCCCTGCCTGGCACTTGGCATTAATGGGTACAACAAGGACTGGTCGGCTCGGAGTCAGTATAATGTGTCTGAGTTGGGTATTCATGCTTAACTGCGGCATGGTATTTCAGTGAGCTAGCACTATAAAACCAGATTATGTCTGGGCTAGTACAAGCAGCCACACATACACACGCTTTCACATCGTGAGCAAAATATTCTTAAGAACGACATTAAACCCCACTTCACCTCACCTTCACTTGTTACGATTCCCGATATAGGTACAATATGTGAAGCCTATTTCTGATGTCTCCAGTCATGTTATTACTGGCTTCCCAGGAATACCGATGATCAAGTACATTTTTTATGATTTAGAAATTTACTTTGATCCCCAAGTTCCTGAAAAACAAAGTTATATAGTGGCGAATAGTTATATATGTATTGGTTTGTGGGTTTTTTAGAAAATATAGATATTTATTAATTACATTTTGTTTAAATTCCCATGTTGCGGACAAATCAAAGTCAAGTTATGGTCCTGTATAGATCTGTTTCAGGTCAGGGCAGTAGGGTAGCCTTGTGGTTAAAGCATTTACTTGTCACACCGAAGACCCAGGTTCAATTCCCCACATAGAACCTCTGAGTAAAGCCCATTCCTTGTGTTCTAATGATATTGTTGGAATATTGCTTTTATCATGCAGCAAAAATGCAATACATTAATTGGCATAAAACCCAACTAACCTTCTAATAGCTTATAACCTTGGTGTTTATAAATGATGACAATTTTCTTGTAATTTCAGTGATTTCCTAATTCTACCAGGCTTCATAGACTTCTCGGCTAACGATGTGGTAAGTAGACGATTCACCTCCAGTTGTAATGAGTCTTCGGGAAAGTAGGTGTCGCGAGGAGGCTGACAATCAATATCTCCTGGTGAAATAGTGCAAGCTTTTAATTAACTTGATTAAGATAACCTTGGAACATTTGCATCACTTCTTTTTTGTCACAATAAAAAGTCTTCACTGTTATTGATGTTCTCATCAAATTTGGTACATGGAAATATGATTCAGTATTTCTCTCAATTTCAACTTATGTTAGTGGGTATGTTGAAATTGACAGAATTACTGAATCATAGAAATTCTGCATAGTATGGATTTCTCATGATAAGTAAAATATAGTTTAATGCAATCAAACTGACCACGTCTTTAAAAATCATGCTTGTCCACTAGACCGTGACTACAAAATTGTGCTGAAGGCAAGTGCAAATTCAGTGATGGTAGTCTTCATTAACTGATGGCTCAATATTTCAATTTTTCTAAATATATGAACTGAATATAACAGATAGTTCAAGCAGTGCTTAGTCATTAGCTACTAGCTCTGAGTGAAAATATGATTTTTCCTTATCCTGACTCATGAAAAGGGAGGTAACTCGTGGGTGAGTGTACTTTTACGTCCGCTTGAGGGAACTACAAAGGATTCAAGTGTTCCACTAACATTCGCATAGAAGAGGGAGATAAGCAAAGATCATGAGTCAGGATAAGTATAAAATATCAATTTTACTTTAAAAATTTCATTTTCCACTTAAAAAATTAATTTCTACTGCTGTTTTCAAATAGTTTGAATTACAAAGGGTTCATATCAATTTTCAACAAAACATACAAAAAGGTTACAGATCTACAAAAGTGACAAACCAGTCAGAGATACAGAAAGAATATAAGGGTTTTACATTTAGAATTTGTTGCATCTCGAAATTAACAGATCACAGAGTATGAATACACTTGATTAAATTATGTTCCTTGCTCTGAAAATTTAAAAAATTATCTCATTAAGCATGTTTAGTGATTAGGAAAGGATTTTTTGCTTGACATGTGATATAACTTTCATGACCTCAATAGCAGGAAATGCGCAATTAGGCCTCTACATGTTTTTTGTTGCTAATGCACTGTGCAGCAATATTCTTGACAATCCAGTGATTGATATCATGAGCGTTGATCCACTTGATTGGTATACAGCGACAGGCATCAACCAGCGTTAGAAATACCTGCCTGCCCGACCACCGTGTTTTCAACACAGACTGCCAGATTCTCAAATTCACCTGCATGACGGTTGGGTTAAAATTTAGACATGTTTATGTATATATTCAGGGGTGGAAATAACCCATTGCCCGACCCCCGAGTCCAGTGTTTTTTTCTGTTGGGCAAGCAAATTTGTATATCACAGTGTACCGGTGTCCAGTTGATATTCCTATGTTAATTATGTTGTTTATTTAAAAAATCAAGAAAATGGCCGGTATAGTGGAAAAATTATCAGGGCAAGTGATTTTACATGTGCCACTGTACCGGAGTACACTAGCAATTTTAAAGTTATTTCCATCGCTGATATTCATCATATTTCAGGATAATAAATTATTATTAATTCACTCACAAATCTGAAATAAACGGTGAATTCCTTTCTTGCATTGGCATTAGTTTTTTCAATATTTTACAAGTTTTAATTTAGTTATGCTAAGTAAATTAGTATTTTTAGTAGGCAGGTAAGTTTTGGTCAGGGCTGACAAGTTTTACATCCAACCAGCCCTGATGTCTGGCTGAAATTGTTTTATACCCTGCGTCAACCGAATCAATGAACCTCATCGTCTGATTGCCTACAACAAGAATAGATGTCTTTTATAACAAGCTTGGGTTGCTGAAGACCATGGATCTTCATGGGTCATGTTGATATGAGATAGGTCAGGTCAACTGACAAAGATTGTGAAGTGGTGTTGCATGAATTGATCTTTTCATAAGAGTGGATGAATACCCTTGGTCATATCCTAGTTGCTCACAGCTCGTGGTTCTAGAAAATTAATAGATCTTTGTTAAATACTTGCCCTCTAGATGTTCACTAGTCGCTGACTAACTCAAAATAGCATACAAAATACCTAATACAACGTTGAAATGTTATGAGTCACGTTGTATGAGGGGATTATAAACAGTCTAATTGTTGGCATGGTTACAAGAGTGATCTTTTGGATGTAAAAAGAGCATGCATGTATAAATCGTTAAGCATCACCACATCTGCTGTTACTGAGTTGGGCATCTTCATGACTTGGATGAGCAACTATCTGCCTATACATGTATGTAGTATGACAATATTTATCCACAAATAGGAAATGCTGAACATTTTATCACACTGACACTGAATGATTCACAAAATACATTTGATATACATGAATAGAAAAGTATCATCAATCTCACTAAAAATAAAGCAAAATAACTTAGGCCAGACCGATTTTATTTCTTGTTTTACGGATCCGCCGGTCGTATCTTTTCAAGAACAAGAAAAAAATAAAATTAATTTTCCCCTTAAAAAAATCAAATCCTAATGTTTCTATTGGCCAGAAATGTAAACTTACAAGAAAATTATTTTTAGATTGTATGTTCCCCCATGGACACTTCATAAATTGCCAAAAGTAAAATACTTTTAGCATTGAAAAGGACAAAAATCCGTAAAACAAGAAATAAAATTGGTCTGGACTTATCATGATTATCTAGCTTTAGGGAAATAATATACACCAAGTTCAGTGATAGAGCAAAATTATTCTAGTGTGTACACAGTTAATCTAGTGTTTGGCATGAATATTGTTAAGTTTGCCCATGTAATTAATGCATACCAGATGTTACATACCAACTGCAATTTTGTATCTGAAATTTATGATGTAGCAGACAATTCCCTGTATGTTTATATTTTCTGAATGAAATGGATCAAGGTGGGATATCTTTATTTTTGTCTTCTGTCATCTGCTTCAAATGGTATTCTTACTCATGTTTGCATAACACATTTCTGCACATTAATTTGGTGTCCCATAAATCAAATTCTTTGTCAGCCATAAATTATAATTTGTTGTCCTTGGTTGACGGACTCCCTATGTTAGTTGATGTCCCTTCACCTAAAGGTAAATGGTCCCATGTCTCCCCTTCTTTAATCTTAGTGTTGCAAAACTTACTGTTTACCTATAAAAAGAAACAAAAATGTCAGTTGCAAACATTGTTCAAGGACAAAATGTATTTATTTTCAAATGTGCCATAGAGCTCTCATGGATATTAAGGTGTGCCTTTTGAGATTTGAGTAAGCCGACCGAATGAAAATCAATTATTGTATATTTATATATGTTCATTATTTTTATGTAATCTGACCAGTATAAAGTAAATTTATCACAGGTTTCACATAACACAATAGTCATATTTTATTAAAAACAAAATGTTGTAAAAATGCCTTTAATGCATTGGATCTTATTTCAACCCATTGTGTATTTAACAATACCATTCCAACACAAGGAATTCTGGGCCCCGTTATTTCTATTTTAGGCTAAGTTCTGTTACTGGTCTGTTAGATGTTAACCTAAAATGGGTAAGGCTTTACTGCATTCCATGATGAAATAGCAGAATGTCACAGTTCACAGATTTATAGAATGTACAACGTTTCTGAAACTTAGGTGAACAGCTTCACTCAAATGATGATGATCGTGCCTTAGACCAGATTTAGTAGCAATGGACGTAACAATCAATATGACAATCTCTCTGTGGGATAATTGATTGCTAGTCCCGGCTGATGATCTGTGGGGACAGGATTTCTCATATCTGCCATCAAGCTCACATGGCATTTCCTCGGGTAGACATGGAGTTGTTTGAAGTTGTTGCTCTTCCGACTATTGAGATGGTATGTTTTTTACTTGACTACTTTCACATGGGAGTTTTTAGAGATTTGGATTTCGGCTTGAAATTTTTTTTTGAACTATCATCATTTGAACTGTAGCTTGTGGCTGAAATTAAGCATGGATGTCACTGGGTTCTTGCGTTAGGTGTGTCATGGGGTCAAGCTTAAGAGGTTCCTCAATTCAAATACTATAGGAACAAACCTTGTATACTCCTGCAACTGTTGATAGACTATCTGCCATCCAAAAGGAAGGCTGGTGGTTTGATCTGTCAGTGTGATACCAAAAGTTGTTTTGAATGGTACTTTTTGTTACCCTGCCTGGCCGTCAGCATTAGTTCCTGTCTGTCAACAGTTGTGGGTGATTTTAAACATGCATGGAATTATTTCCGAGTGTGACGTGTCACAATTTACTTGTCAAACAATAGAGGTTGACACAGCAAAGCTGACAACCCAAGTAGAGAGGTGAATAAACTTGCTTCAGTCATGATTCTTATTGGGAAATTGATGGAAAAACTTGTGCGTTTTCTTAAGCATGTGTGAAGTACTAATTGTCACTTTGAATGGATTCGATACCAGTGTGTATGAAAGCACAGATTACAAATACCATAGTTGTATAAAGACAAGCACATTCCAATTTCCCATGACCTGTTAACAAGTTTACTCCCGTCACGTCATCACTAGAGCAGAAACTTTTCTTGTGGAACAAGACAAGCAGAGCCGAATAAACTCAGGGGTTATCAGCTGTTGTTTGTAACAAGTCCTTATTGGTTATTATTTGCAAACAATGTTTTTGAGTGTTTTCAACGCATTTGCCCTTTGAGGGAATAAAACATGTACTATCAGCTTGAAATCAATACAGTGTGTCTGAGTTGGGTATTAATATTAAAACTGTGGCATGTTTCCATGGACTAGTCCCATGTAACTGGCACTAGTCTGGACTAGTACAAGCAGAGACACACCCACTGAGTACCTCACCATAATTCTGAGGGTGGGAGGTAGTCATGCTTTACCTGAATACCAATAAGTATTTTTGGACTATTTCCTTTGTTTTTCTAAATATGAGTATTTTACAAAAATATGTTTGTTTTTCAGGACCTGACATCTGCGTTGACTCGTAAGATCACCCTGAAATCTCCCCTGGTGTCTTCACCTATGGACACAGTCACTGAAGCCCAGATGGCCATTGGCCTAGCAGTAGGTGGTCTCCCTTTTTGTCAAAGTTTACCAGGTGGTGGGGTAGCTTAGTGGGTAAAGCGTTCGTTGTCTTGCCAGACATGGGTTTGATTCCCCATGTACATGTGGGTACAGTGTGTGAAGTCCCTTTCTGGTGTACCTTGACAATTCTGGAATAACGCTTAAAGTGGCGTAAAACCATACTCACTCACTCATGGGTGAGATTACTATCTCACTCTTTTAACAGAGTTTGATTTTCATGCATTACAGATCAGATATGTCATTAGTAGAAGGTATAATTACACGAGGCCATTTAGAAAGTGGTCAAATGTAACATATGCTCTGTTTGGGATTAAACTTTCTAAGTAAAGTACTGATTCTAGTACATTAGTTGGGGTGAGTCCCATCTGGGATTTGAACCCACACCCTCAGAGTCAGGCACCTACCAGGTAATCGCCAACCCACAATGTCGCAGTGGCTGAGCAGGTTAGGTGGCTGACTATATGAATCTTAAACTCAGATTGAGTCCAAATACTGCCATGCTAATTGACAACAGTTTACCATGACTGTAAATAGAGAGATTCTGTGACAATTTACCGTAAAAAGCTAAGACTTATTTGCATATCAGAGATTAAATAATAGCCTATTTATACACTTGTTAATGACAGAGATCCTTCAGACCTCCGTGGTGTAGTGGTTAGAGCGTCAGCCCGGACAGTGGAAGGTCGTGGGTGCGATCCCCGACCGCGTCATACCAAAAGACGTTAAAAAATGGTACTTGTTGGTCCCTGCCTGGCGCTCGCATTAATGGGTACAACAAGGACTGGTCGGCTCGGAGTCAGTATAATGCGTCTGAGTGGGGTATTCATGCTTCACTGCGGCATGGTATCTCAGTGAGCTAGCACTATAAAACCAGCTTCAGTCTGAGCTAGTACAAGCAGCCGCACACACACATACACACACACACATGCATGTCATCATATGAGCGAAATATTCTCAAGCACGACGTTAAACCCAATTTCACCTCACCTCACCTCACCTCACCTTCAGTCCCTTAATGTTGAAAACGGAATGGTATCTTTTGAATATATTCCACTGGGATTTTTCTCCCAAACGTTCATGGTTATGGGGAAATAGGTTGTTAACTATTATTCTTATACAGTTCTTTTTCTTCCACAGTTGTGTGGCGGTATTGGAATCATCCATCATAACTGTACCGCAGAGTTCCAGGCAAATGAGGTCAGAAAGGTCAAGGTAAGGTCTACTTATTTTCAAATCACAGCATTATCCAAACAAAAATGATCAACTGTAGGTGTTAAACTTGTATTCCTCGTAGCTTTGTTATTAAACCACAGTCAGGCACCCGTGTGACAAAACTGAAGCAAGTTATGTTTATACTTTGCGTTATCCGGGGGTTTGATTCTACCACAAAAGGGCGGTGGGGTAGCCTAGTGGTTAAAGCGTTGGCTCGTCACGCCGAAGACCCGGGTTCGAATCCCCACAAGTGCACAATGTGTGAAGCCCATTTCTGGTGTTCCCCGCCGTGATGTTGCTGGAATATTGCTAAAAGCGGCGTAAAACCAAACTCACTCAGTCAGTCAGTCTACCACAAAATGAGTAAAGAAGGAAGGGACTGAAGTCAAAGTTTGACATGAGGGTGTTAGCCTGTTACTGGAGCCATGAAAACTGCTGTTTTATCGTGGTACTGACAAGGTAGGTTGATGAACCAGAAGTGGTGTTCTGTAATTTGAAGTGCTTGTTATGATTATAGCATTGTGGTCAGAGAAGTTAGAGGCTGGACTTTCCTGTTTCAAAGTTATACTGCATTTGCCATATGAACGATCAACTGTCACAATATTTGGTAAATTCAAAATGGTTTATGATACAATCTTCAGTGGAAATGTTTTGGTGCATTTAATAAAATTGGTTGGTTTGTTGTTGAATGCTGCACTCAGCAATATTCCAGCTATATGGCAGTCGTCTGTAAATAATCAAATCTGGACGTGACAATCCAGTGATTAACATATCGTGAGCATCGATTTATACATTTGGGATACGATGACATGTGTCAACCAAGTCAGCGAGCCTGACCACCCGATCCCGTTAATCGCCTCTTATGACAAGCATGGGTTACTGAAGACCAATTTTGACCCGGATCGTCACGGGTCCATTTAGTGAAAGACGTGGATGGGTCTAATTCAGTTTCACTATTTAATGCAGATATTTTTCTTGTTGCTTGTGGAAAGATTATGTTTGGAGTCGTGTGATTTGACTAATTGTTTCACATCAACTCAAACAAGGCCGTAGCTCTTAGATTAGACATATGCCAAACACCTCCGTGAGAAAAATCGTTTTTATTGGCTGTTGATTTCAAATTCATGGAAAGGAGGGGAGATAAGGTAGCTTAGTGATTAAAGTATCCGCTCATCACGCTGAAGACCAGAGTTAGACTCCTTATATGGGTATGTTGTAGCCCTGGGTGAAACAGTATGCTTTTACCACTGTACAGTACGTATTGCGGTACAAGGCCTTCGGTTTGGACCGTTTCGGTTCAATATTTAACTTTCTTCTGGGAATATAGCGTCCATCCATCAAAGAAATGCATAGATTTTGACAAAATGATTTGATTTCTAGACATTTTAGAAAAGGTTTTAAAATGATTAATGAAATGACGGTATGAAAACACTGAATTTCCCCGTAGTGTTACTGCTTGAATATTGCTAAAAGTGGCGTATAACTAAACCAACACTCTGATTTAAAAGGCGTGCTTGTACAAACATGCTCTCCATAAATTTAAGTTAATCTGAAGACTGTGTTAATGATTTTTGAACTTCTATGGGAGGCAAGTACACTTTGCTTTCATTTTTCACTTTCGAACTTGAGTTACTATGGCAACAAGATAAGATTGATGCAGGGAGACTCATATTAGTAGAAGAACTCTCTTTTTTTTCCTTGAGTCTCAGATGGCAGTACATAAAGAAGCACAGCTATTTTTCATTTTCTTTGACCGTTAGATGGAACTAAATTTTGTTTATCCTGATACCGAGATACACTTTGATGTGAAACATCAGTTAACAGTGTCTGAGGAGCTTCTCATCAAAGAAAATAAATAGAACAAGCTGGCCGGTGAGTCAGACTGACATGTGAAAGGCTAATAAACGCATCCTTTGTTATTCCATTACTGATCTTAACTTACTTTTTCCATTACAAGTTTCCCTCCATTCCCATTATCCATAGCAACAATGACATTTTGATAGTGACGTGACTGGCGATGTCTTTACTTCACATGATGTACGGCTCAGTGAAATTGGTGCCTCATAATTAGCTTTCAGGGAAGTATTACTTATATTCCTTTACCGAAAACATGTTATTGATTTCTTGTACATAAAAACAGAATCAAATTGGTCGCTGCCAGCATGTTGCCATGGTGATGCTAATCCATAATACTCTAATGCCGAAGTTGCCTTTTGTCATTAATCTGGATATTGACACACTTGTCATCAATTCCTGACAATATTTCTGATTTATTTTCTAAAAGAGAAAATTGGCTTGTCAGGAGTTAATTAGGCCTCTGGCAAAAGAAATGTTCATATTGATAAGTCAGCTGTTGAATATTGATGAAGCAGTTTACTGTTTAATGTGATATATTTTGATCGATATGCACATCAGATACATGGACCTTAAGTGTTTTTTTCTCTTTAATTAGGAAGACGTCATTTATCTTAATATTACAACAACACATTCTATTTTAGAAGAAGTCCTGCTTGGGGTACATATAAGCATTAAAATGTCTATTTTAAATCCTACGACAGTTGTAACTATATTTTTCAATAAAATATTTACAAAACGAAAAACACGTTTTGTCTTGTGAGACCACCCCTACAGGGCCCCACCGGGCCCCCTACAGCCCAAAGCAGGTAACTCTCGCCATCTACCTCGTACCTCACTTTCATGGTGTCGTTCTGTTGAATAGACGTGCATGGTGTTCATGTCGAGTTTGCTCTCCTACCGATATGATGAGTGTAAAAGAGTCTCAATCTGTATGTATGGTATGGGGATAATATTTGATGAAAGGTTCTAGGGAAATCCCTTTATCGTCCCCCCGCCTACTCCTCACCAACAAACAATGTTGCTACACTAACGATTGATTTCTTACTTATAGCAGCAGCGGAGAACCCTGCATTGCCAGGCTACACCCATGTGTCTCGGGACCGGGGTTCGGACTCTCTGAACCTGGGGACTAGCACCGACCCAGGCTTCGGCCCCGGTACGGAGCAGATCCCCGGCACTGGTAACTCAGGTGTGACGGAGCTACCTAGCTGCCGATCACCTCGACGCTCCGAGGTATACCCGTCTACACCAGGGGAACCCTGCATTGCCAGGCTACTCCCATGTGTCTTGACACCGGGACCTGTGAAGATCCGGGGTAGAATAGGTCTTCAGCAACCCATGTGCTTGCCATAACAAGGCGACTATCTTGTCGTAAGAGGCGACTAACGGGATCGGGTGGTCAGTTTCGCTGACTTGGTTGACAAATGTCATCGGTTCCCAATTGCGCAGATCGATGCTCATGCTGTTGATCACTGGATTGTCTGGTCCAGACTCGATTATTTACAGACCGCCGCCATATAGCTGGAATATTGCTGAGTGCGGCGTAAAACTAAACTCACTCACTCACTCACTCTTGACACCGGGGGTCGGACTAGCACCGACCTGGGCTTCGGCCCCGGTACGGAGCAGATTCCCGGGGCTGTTAGCTCAGGTCTCGGCCTGATGTCTATCGACGCCCTGGCCAAGAGGCTGTTGAGTGTGACGGAGCTACCAATCACCTCGACGCACCAAGGTCTACCTGTATACACCAGGGAAACCCTGCATTGTCAGGCTACTCCCAGGTGTTTTGGGATCGGGGTTTGAACTCGAACCACCGACCCGGGCTTCGGCACTGGTAGGGCGCAGATTCCCGGCGCCGGTAGTTCAGGTCTCGGCCTGATGTCTACTTTGAACTTAACACTGAGTAGGTTTGTCCCTGAGGCAAATGCGAGATAGAATCAGGCTGTGTTGCCTCACATTCTACCGTCAGTCTGCCGTTCTTTCCCCTGTATGCTCCACTCGGTGCATCATTCAGCTCTGCTGAGAGAGCTGGTGGAAAGGGGAAAGAGCGCTGGTGATTTTTCATCGGCGACTCTGGATGGCACCTGACGGAGGTCAACTCTCATCTGGCTGGGGACTGCATTGTAGCTGTGCCAGCCAAATGATGAGTGTGGTTATGGGCCTATGGCACCCGGGACTGTTTCGAGGAATGCGGAAGTCTGTCGAGCTTCTCGTTAATCCCTCAGGTGCCCAGGCACTGAAAAACGTTATGTTGCCGACTGCAGGGGTTTACTGTATTCTGCTGCAAACCCCGGCCGGAGTGCGGCGCACACCTAGGTCGGCTTCCCGGGAGATGGCGAATATACTCCATGCCGATCCAGTCTCTGCTGGGCAAGGCAACCATCGAGGTGGTTTCCAATGGTCGGGAAAATGTGGGGTTTGACTCCATTTATTTCCTCGTTGCCATTAAAAACGGAATGTTCAGACCCATTCTCATCTGAGAGCTGAACAAGTTAATAGAGGTACTGTCCTTCAAGATGGTGACACCGGGCTCGGTGATATCATCTGTCGAGACAGGGGATTGGCGCACGTCAATCGACCTCGAGGTCGCGTACCTCCTTGTTCCATTGCACCCTGATTTTAAGATTTACCTTTGCTTCTTCTTTGACGGGACATGCTACCAGTTTCGTGTGCTCCCCTTAGGCTACATTACGGCACCAAGGGTATTCACCAAATTGAGGTTTATTAGAGCCCAGATAGCCAATCAGTGTTGGTCACTCTTACGAAACTGGGCCGAATTGTCCACCTCACGAAATCAGATGGACAGACGTCAGGCGTCTCTCCAAGGGGCTCCCCCTGGAGACGCCGTCGCTCTTAGTCCAGCCAGATACATCCCTCCCGGGTTGGGGCGATGTTCTGGGCGACCTGCTGTCTCTTGACAACAAAGTCACAACCTGCACATCAATGTGCTGGAATTGACAGCAGTCAGCTTGGTGTTCAATCCCGCACGCCAGGATTCGAATTACCTTTTCGGCCAGACATTCTCACTCTGAGCGGAATACACACCAATCCTCGGATTCACTGGGTGGCTTGGCCTCTGTCGGGTCTAACCTCCAGACACGCGGAATTCCTGCAGCCGTTGCAGACACAATTCTGGCTTCGAGGCGGGATTCGACACCAGTTCAGTGTGTTGATAGGTGGGGCACGCTCAGGTGTGCAGATAGGGGGAAATCAGAATCCCTATTCTGCGGATTTAGTTCGGATATTGGAGTTACTATAACCTCGTTTTGGTTCAGAGCCTTCATGACCTCCACCATTCCCAGGTACTCCATGGCTATTTCCACGTTTCACACCTCATTCGATGGTGCTCTGCCTAGGCAGCACCCTCTCGTACAGCACTTCGTAGGTGGCATGAACAGGGTTCGACCGCCTCAGCGGCAACCCAGCCCACCTTGAAATTGCCAATTATTCTCAATTGGCTGTCTGGCCCAGACTTTTCAAGTATATCGTCTCTCTCATTTCACTTGTTGACGTGGAAGAATGCTTTACTTGTAGTGGTGAGCTCTGGTAGAGGGTTGGGTACATCCATGCGATACCCATTGACTCTCAGTTCGATATTGCTTTCCACCCCTTACCCAGCCTTCAACACCGGGGACCGATCTTGCGATTGCTCACCCATTGGAGTGACTATAACAAACGAACGAAATGGATCCATACGGTACCCATGTGTTCTGTTTGGTGGCGGGAAGACTGGGGACTTTATCTCATTGGCTTGTTCGGTTACAATGCTAAGGTTTACTTCCCCCCGAAGGGTTGAAGGCAGACTGGGTAGGGCAGATGCCACTTTGTTGGCAATAAACAGCGGCACTGCTCAATGAAGAGATTGGTTCTGTCGCTCTTTGGAGCTGGCAGAACGCCTTCATTCGCCGTTACCGACTTGACACACATTCTAAGGATCGTGCTCGGTTCGGTCTTTCTGTTCTCTCCAGTGGAGATTGTACTGCCACCCTGACCAAGTTAGTAACTGGTCATTGGTATCGGTTCTGTGTTCAATGTCGATATGTTACCACCCTTTCGGGTTGGGTGGGGTTTGGGTGTACATACGTCCTCTTCACCTAAAGGCAAGAGAGGGTGGGGGTGTTTTATCCTGCTTTTCACTCGTACAATGGCATTTGTACTCGTTCGATTCCCTCAGAAGGTTTTTAGCGAGGCTAATAATTTCTCTGGGTTTTAGCGAGGTCCCGGCAAAGCCCTCTTCCAAACAGGAGGGGTGCATTCGAGCATTAGTTTGCAGTACTTATTAGCTCGACTCCTGGGTTATTGGCTTTTAAGCGTGATTACGCTTTCCCTACCCTTATACCTCTCGCCACGCTTCGCTGGTTCGGACTATATTAGGGTTGGGAGTTGTTTCGGCATGTCCCCATACATTACTTTCCATTGTAATGGTTGGGGGTGGGGCTTTGTGTCATAATTGATTTGAGCCAATTGACGTATAAGCTTGGGATCTCTATTTCCCGCCCTAGCCACGCCCCCGCCTGATTGACATCAGCGATCAGGTGGCTCGGTAATGTGTTTTTCTATTTCCGTATCGGTTGTAGGTTTCACTCCACCATGGGTGGCACATTTCTGGTATCCACCGCCGTAATATTGCTGCTAAAAGCGACATAAACTAAACTCACTCACTGATGTTTCCCATTGTTATTAATTGACAAAACAGCATACTTTATATGTACACCTTGACTCACTAATATCATATTTTTTACAGAAATACGAACAAGGGTTCATCCTGGATCCCGTGGTCATGTCCCCCAGTCATACAGTTGCCGACATCGTGCAGGCCAAGAGACAGTACGGCTTCTCCGGCATCCCCATCACAGATAAGGGACACATGGGGGAGAAGCTTGTCGGCCTCGTTACGCAGCGAGACATCGACTTCTTTACCAGGGACCAGTACCACACTCCCATCTCAGAGGTAAGTGATGTTGTGGTACTATTGCTGGGACGGAGGGCATGGTGGTCTAGCTGTCAAGGTTGTCCTAATTCAGTCCATCCATGTGCCAGAAGCATAAATCGTTTGTTCAAATCCCAGACACCTGATATTCAAAGGCATCCTAATTCACCATCCTAATTCACCTAATTACCAATGAAGGCTTTACCATTGATGAGGCTTGATAATTTTTGTCACTTTAAATATTTCCCGGTTGGAAAAGATATGCTAGGTGTACGAATCCCTGCGAGGCGTGGAATAGATCATCTCAATTACATTTTCCCGAAGGAAGCAATACCCTACCTATGTTATTCCAAAGGAAGAATTTACCAGAGGATGAAAAAAATTGTCCTCGTGAGTTTGGAATATTGCTTAAAAATCAAACCAAATTCAGTCAGTCAGTCAGTCTGTTAAAAATTAAAAATCAAACATTAAAAATGAACCGTTTACAAAAAGATAAAATCAGAATGACACAGTTTTTATATATGGCCAATAACAGAAAGATCACTTTGAAAAGTTACAATTAAACAAAATAAAATATCACCATCAGATTTCATTTTTATGAGGACCCAAACCAAAATTTAAAAACAATATTCATCTAACAATCCAAATGAGACTGTAAGATGATTAAGAAAATCAATTACAGTGTGTTGGTTATTCTTTTTGATGAAAAAGAAAACTATGATGGTCTGATTTTGAATAGATGCTTATCAGGACTTGTGGGAGCTAGCAGCTGCGAATGCTACATTGCTTGTCTGTAACCATGGTAACGTATTGATATTCATGTAGGTGATGACGCCATATGAAGACCTGATAGTGGCACCAGCAGGTGTGACGCTCAAAGAAGCCAATGGAATCTTACAGAAGAGCAAGAAAGGTGGGTTTTCTTCCAGCGAGAAAAGAGTCATGTGAGACATGCCAGTTTACTATTGTCTGAGGGGTACATTCAGTATGTGATCTAAGCATTGACATCACGTTCAATTGTTTAAAGATTTCACAGACGATGAAATACAGAAACAATGGTTGCAGGGCAAAAGTGATATGTGCACATATTATATATATGACACTGGTTATGTTTCACCATATGGGGATAATTTTATCTTTAGCATTATATATTATCAGCATTGTATATTGTACATATATAGTAGGTCATACTAGTATATGTGGTCCTTGTGTATTGAATGAGAAGATGTCATGGAAGGAGAGAAACAACAAGTTCAAAATGCGAATTGTTTCTCTTACCCTGACATCTTCAAATCTTTGTTTTATGTAGAATTGTGTATTGTATGTCTGCAGGTAAACTCCCCATCGTTAAGGATCGGGACGAGCTGGTGGCCTGATTGCTAGCTACCACGGCTTCTTCAAGTCTTGTTTTATGTAGGGGGCTGTGGGGTAGCCTAGTGGTTAAAGCGTTGGCTCGTCATGCCGAAGACCCGGGTTCAATTCCTCACATGGGCACAATGTGTTAAGCCCATTTCTGGTGTCCCCGCCGTGATATTGCTGGAATATTGCTAAAAGCGGCGTAAAACTAAACTCAGTCAGTTGTTTTATGTAGAGTTGTGTATTGTATGTCTGCAGGTAAACTCCCCATCGTTAATGATCGGGACGAGCTGGTGGCCCTGATTGCCAGAACAGACACAAAGAAGAACCGAGAGTTTCCTCTGGCTTCCAAGGATGAGAAGTGAGTTGGGTGTGTCACAATTCAAAATGTATCGATCTCAAAATTTACACAATTTGAGAGATTTGTGCATGTTTACAAGGCAGTTTGGGACATGATGGGGGAAAATTTACGCAATGTGGCATGTAATTGTACTGTTTCCAACATAAATGATGCTTCATGTTTAGATACAAGGATTGAAAAGCTGACAATGTATTTCCGATGACCTGATGTATCTGATCTGTTTCAAATATCAAAGTTATCCTGGTACATGATCATATGGATAGATGTAGAAAGATGAGAAACATTGTTATTCCTATGCTGCTTATTGTTCTAGAAAGCTGAAAGCCAATGAGTGATCAGCCTTCATGGCTTAGTTGTCATTATTTCCTGCTGACAACATGTGCAACATGCCCATGGCTTTGTGGTTTCTGATGTTAACATTACTTTTTGTCAGGCAGTGGTTGGTTTCCACAAAGTTTAAGGTTTGTTTGTCTTCCCTGAGTTAAAACTGGCCTCCTGCTGTTTGCCGACGAAATGTGTGTCAGTAATACATTGCATATTGGCAGCACGTTTTCAGGCAGACCTGTGTTGACAATGGATGAGATAGTGTGAATGTTGTTGCAGGAAGCAGTTGTTGGTTGGTGCTGCGGTCAGCACACATGAGGAGGACAAGGACCGTATTGACCAGCTTGTTCAGGCAGGGGTGGATGTTGTTGTGTTGGTAAGTAACATTGATCAGCTTGTACAGGTTATGATGGCGGACCGCCTCCGTGGTGTAGTGGTTAGAGCATCAGCCCGGAGAGCGGAAGGTCGTGGGTTCGATCCCCGACCGCATCATACCAAAAGACGTTAAAATATGTCACTTGTTGGTCCCTGCCTGGCGCTCGGCATTAATGGGTGCAACAAGGACTGGTCAGCTCGGAGTCAGTATAATGTGTCTGAGTAGGGTATTCATGCTTCACTGCGGCATGGTATCTCAGTGGGCTAGCACTATGAAACCAGCTTAATCTGGGCTAGTACAAGCAGCCGCACATACACATACACACGCATGCACGTCGTCATATGAGCGAAATATTCTCAAGCACGACGTTAAACCCAATTTCACCTCACCTCACCTATGATGGCCATCTTAGCACTGTGTGGTGGAAGAGACTCGCTCAACTTACTGTGTTAGAGTTCTGATGCTCAGAACTACCAGTATGCTTCAATATGTTTCCAAACGATATGTGTGTGGTGTGTTACAGTGTGTTTTCTGTGTTCTGATCTGTTTTTCACACTATTGGTACAATGTGTTCTTTATTTGTACTTTTTAACCTGAAATGCACATAAATTCATTCACAAATGATCTGTCCCTGCCTAGTTTATTGACAAAACGGCAGAAGTGATTTTTCCTACACCTTGCCAACAGACAGAAACTGACCATGCTGATATTCATCACTATGTAAAGGATCTGCATTCCTGTGTTGCAGTATATAGCAATCCAGTTTTTTGCTAGTACATCACATAAACAGCGTGTGTTTTTTCTGTTGACAGGATTCCTCACAAGGCAACTCCATATTCCAGATTAATCTGATCCGCTACCTGAAACAGAAGTACCATGATCTCCAGGTTATTGGAGGCAACGGTAAATAACTTGCAACAAGTCATTAACAATAATTTGGTACCTTAGGATGCCTGATTGTGTTTTGTGATCTCTGTGCAAGGGTATGGAAGTGAAATGATTTACATCATTTCATTAACAACATGAAGCAGTTTTGCTGACTATCACTGACAAGTCAAAGCAAGGCAAAGTAGTGAATGGAATTCAATTGCTGTCAATTTAGGAATTGTTTCAAGTGGGCCAAACTAGCCCCATTTTACTTCATCCTTCCATAATCGTTGGTCCCAAATTAGATGTTTTTTCTATTTGTATAATGACCTTTTCTACCCCATCCTTGAAAGATTTACCTGTGTGAGTAGGTGCATGTGCGTTCATACATATACCCATGTACATGTGTTTGTGTGTGATGGTATGTTGAAATATGGGCAAGTAATTATTAATTGCTTTCTTTATTTTGTCTTTTCTTTACTGTGCCATCAGCCATGATATACCTGTGTTTGACTGAGTGAGTTTAGTTTTAAGCCACACTCAGCAATATTCCAGCTATATGGCGGCGGTCTGTTAATAATCGAGTCTGGACCAGACAATCCAGTGATCAACACCATGAGCATCGACCTGGCGCAATTGGGAACCGATGACATGTGACATCCAAGCCAGCGAGCCTGACCACCTACTGGTTAAGCTCAGATTACTGAAGGTTCATTCTAACCTGTACCTTCACGGTCCTGTGTTTGATGTTGTAGTGGTCACAGCAGCTCAAGCGAAGAATCTGATAGATGCAGGCGTGGACGGACTAAGGGTCGGCATGGGGAGCGGCTCTATCTGCATCACACAGGAAGGTGCGTGGACACCGCTTTAACGTCTTCTGATTTTCGTTAAGATCTTCCACTCTACTACAATACCTCTCTTAATTAAGATCTGAATGATTAGAAGTTTATGTCAAACAAAGTTCCTTATGAACCAAATTGTGTCAAGGCTTATAAATTCATGGTTTGAATGAGATGGCATTAAGGCCACCATATGTAATTTCTATATCTTCAAATGAAACTGTTTCGAATGAAAATATTACACTCTTTAAGTGGTTGGATGGTTACAACTTGCTCAGGATTCACTTTGAAGATGAATATTGATCTGATAATGATGTTGCTTGTTGTTCCAGTAATGGCAGTAGGTCGTCCCCAGGGTACTGCTGTCTACAAAGTTGCCGAGTATGCTCGCCGATTTGGAGTGCCAGTCGTTGCTGACGGAGGCGTTTCATCAGTTGGACATATCATCAAGGCTTTGTCACTGGGAGCATCCACAGGTAGGCGTTGGGAGACCCAAAGAAGGGCAGATCTTGGGAGGATGATCTTTAAACATTGACTTATTGCCTGTTTCTTTTACACTGTTTCCATGCTTCACTCTTGACATTCACCTGTGACAAAATCTGGACATTCAAAGGTACACTGACTTTCTAGCAGGACCTTTACTGCTACTGTCATGTATTAGACCCATTTTAACAAGAGATGGGCAGAAACGGAGACAGGCACACCAGGAAATTAACTTACCTTAATATGAGAGACCAAGAACTGAGCACGTCCAGATATGAACGGATCCCAAATATTTTCTTTTGTCTTGTTTCTTTTTCTTTTTGAGATTTTTTTTTCTTTTCTTTTGTTTTTTTTGTTTTCATGCATTTCACGGATACATTTCTCGTTACTATACACTTTGTCAACAAACAAAATCCAAACATGGGAAGTCCAAGAGAAAGGCATGGCCAAAAGAATTAGCTGATCTCAATATGAGAAGACCCAATGATAATCTCATTCAGGGGTGGGATGTTTCAGCGAAAGGCACTATCTATGATGTTGGTAACTCCGCAGTAAAAGAAAACGTTTCAATTGTTTTCACATTGTGATGATAGTTCATCTCCATATCACACACCAGCTCCACACAGTCACGATAGCTTGTATTGGTTGCAGTGATGATAGTTCATCTTCATATCACACACCAGCTCCACACAGTCACGATAGCTTGTATTGGTTGCAGTGATGATAGTTCATCTTCATATCACACACCAGCTCCACACAGTCACGATAGCTTGTATTGGTTGCAGTGATGATAGTTCATCTTCATATCACACACCAGCTCCACACAGTCACGATAGCTTGTATTGGTTGCAGTGATGATAGTTCATCTTCATATCACACACCAGCTCCACACAGTCACGATAGCTTGTATTGGTTGCAGTGATGATGGGTTCATCTTCATCTCACACACCAGCTCCACAGCAGTCACGATAGCTTGTATTGGTTGCAGTGATGATAGTTCATCTAGATTCATCTCCATATCACACACCAGCTCCACGCAGTCACGATAGCTTGTATTGGTTGCAGTGATGATAGTTCATCTTCATATCACACACCAGCTCCACACAGTCACGATAGCTTGTATTGGTTGCAGTGATGATGGTTCATCTCCATATCACACACCAGCTCCACACAGTCACGATAGCTTGTATTGGTTGCAGTAATGATAGTTCATCTTCATATCACACACCAGCTCCACACAGTCACGATAGCTTGTATTGGTTGCAGTAATGATAGTTCATCTTCATATCACACACCAGCTCCACACAGTCGCGATAGCTTGTATTGGTTGCAGTAATGATAGTTCATCTTCATATCACACACCAGCTCCACGCAGTCACGATAGCTTGTATTGGTTGCAGTGATGATAGTTCATCTTCATCTCACACACCAGCTCCGAGCAGTCACGATAGCTTGTATTGGTTGCAGTGATGATAGTTCATCTCCATACCAGCTCCACGCAGTCACGATAGCTTGTATTGGTTGCAGTGATGATAGTTCATCTCCATACCAGCTCCACGCAGTCACGATAGCTTGTATTGGTTGCAGTGATGATAGTTCATCTCCATATCACACACCAGCTCCACACAGTCCGCGATAGCTTGTATTTGGTTGCAGTGATGATAGTTCATCTTCATCTCACACACCAGCTCCACACCAGCTCCACACAGTCCACGATAGCTTGTATTGGTTGCAGTGATGATAGTTCATCTTCATATCACACACCAGCTCCACACAGTCGATAGCTTGTATTGGTTGCAGTGATGATAGTTCATCTTCATATCACACACCAGCTCCACACAGTCCACGATAGCTTGTATTGGTTGCAGTAATGATAGTTCATCTTCATATCACACACCAGCTCCACACAGTCACGATAGCTTGTATTGGTTGCAGTGATGATAGTTCATCTTCATATCACACACCAGCTCCACACAGTCACGATAGCTTGTATTGGTTGCAGTAATGATAGTTCATCTTCATATCACACACCAGCTCCACACAGTCACGATAGCTTGTATTGGTTGCAGTGATGATAGTTCATCTTCATATCACACACCAGCTCCACACAATCACGATAGCTTGTATTGGTTGCAGTGATGATGGTTCATCTTCATCTCACACAGCAGCTGCAGTAATGATAGTTCATCTTCACAGCACAGTCACGATAGCTTGTATTGGTTGCAGTGATGATAGTTCATCTTCATATCACACACCAGCTCCACACAGTCACGATAGCTTGTATTGGTTGCAGTGATGATAGTTCATCTTCATATCACACACCAGCTCCACACAGTCACGATAGCTTGTATTGGCTGCACTGATGATAGTTCATCTTCATATCACACACCAGCTCCACGCAGTCACGATAACTTGTATTGGTTGCAGTAATGATAGTTCATCTTCATATCACACACCAGCTCCACGCAGTCACGATAGCTTGTATTGGTTGCAGTAATGATAGTTCATCTTCATCTCACACACCAGCTCCGAGCAGTCACGATAGCTTGTATTGGTTGCAGTAATGATAGTTCATCTTCATATCACACACCAGCTCCACTCAGTCACGATAGCTTGTATTTGTTGCAGTCATGATGGGTTCATTACTGGCCGGGACCACAGAGGCTCCCGGAGAATATTTCTTCGCTGATGGTGTGCGGTTAAAAAAGTATCGGGGTATGGGATCTCTGGACGCCATGGAGACTCATCGGAGTAGTCAGAGTCGATATTTCAGGTGCAGGTTTGACCTTGTCTTTGTTGCATATAATAATCACTGTAGGATTCTAATTGTATCTAGGGAAGATTTCCAACCCCCAGACCTAATTGTTTGTCCAAGGGAAAGGATAAATTTCCATTAAATGGAATCATTGAAAGTCTGTATTTTTTTACATGTCAATACCAAAGCATATGGTTTCATAATTTTCCACCCTTGAAGATCCAGTTTAGAATTGGTCTTCAGCAACCCATGCTTGTAGTAAGAGGCAACTAATGGGATCTGATGGTCAAGCTCACTGACTTGGTTGACACATGTCATCGTATCCCACTTGCATAGATCGATGCTCATGCTTTTGATCACTGGATTGTCTGGTCAAGACTCGATTAGTTACAGACCGCCTCCTATAGCTGGAATATTGCTGAGTGTGGCGTTAAACAACAAACCAACAACAACCATCATAATTTCCTCCTTTCATAAATATTCTTCATTCCCATGCATGAAAGTATTATAGCTTCAATGAAGTGTTCTATCCATTACCCTATCATCAGCTCAAAGTACCACTACATATGTGCTTGTACTTACAACTGTTTAATCTGTTTCAGCGAGAGTGATAAAATCAAAGTAGCACAAGGTGTATCAGGGTCCATCGTTGACAAAGGCTCCATCCAGAAGTTCGTTCCATATCTGATAGCTGGGATCAAACATGGCTGCCAAGACATTGGTGCCAAAAGTCTTTCCATTTTGAGGTAGGTTTCTTGAGCTTAAGGAGATACAACTGTCTCCAAAATGCATTTCTTTGAGATTTGTGCCTCAATTATGTTAAACTAGCGGCATGTAATTTGTTAAGAGTTTGAAGGTAGACACTCATATTTTGATGCATCTTTGTGATATGTGGACAGTTGTGCATGTGTAAATGCTGAGTGAGGATTAAAATATGGATGTCCCTGGTGTAACATGTAACCTGCATTTCTCCGTCTAACACGACGGAATATTCATCACGATAGTTTTGTGTTGATTTATGTGATGTGAATATCTTAAGCTGTGTTCAGTTTACTAAAACTGCTTCTTTAAGTGTTTAACCTCATCAATTTCCTGCTGTTTTGTTTCTGGTCTTGAGAGAAAAATGGTGATAGGGTTGCCTAGTGGTGCAAACATTCACTCATCCCAGCAAACCTTTAGGTTCAATTCCCTGTAATGATATACTGAGAGAAACATATAAAGGATCAGGAAAATTCAAGCATTCCTTTAATATTTTCCAGTTTTCACCACCAACTTTGAACACTGCTGTAGTGATGTAAAACTGTTTGTTCATCCCACCAAACCTTTAGGTTCAATTCCCTTTAACGATATATTGTGTGAAGCCTTTTACTGGTGTCCTGTACAAGAAAAGTGGAGAAAACAATTTAAAACCACACTCACTCACTTGCTACACATCCCATCATGTTTTTGATGATGAGCGTAACCTTAAAGCAAATAAGCAAAGGGATTGAATTACTGAGGTGGTTGCTTTTTACTTGAAGCAAACAAGTATCTTCATGATCAATACACAGTTTCTTTGTTCTTTCTTTTTCAAAGTTTGATAACATGAAATAAAATGTTAATTGTTAGTATTTATTGATGGGCTAAACATTTCCCCGATATTTATTTGTATTTTATTCTTTATTTGGGGGGGTTTAGTTTGACTAACTTGACAATGTCAACAATGACTGGAACAGGATTATGCAACTTGTTCAGATACTGGTAGTAGTCGAACTTGCCCTAACTTTCACAATTTATCAGGTATAAGAAACATCACAGGTCGAAATTCCTTTGACAGGTCAAGAATCTTTTCCTTGACAGGTCTAAATCTATATTCTTAGATTTGTCTTAATCCTTTACCCAGATGTGTCTAAATCGTTTTCTTTACAAAATCTTTACTTTCTGGACTGGTGTAGAATACTTGTGTTTTCTCATTTTGTTGGAAAAATTGTTTGAAAATGATTCTGAACAGTGTAAGGCTGCAGGTTTCTTACCGCCTGCAGTAAACTATGGATATAGCGAACTGAAGTGGACCACTAATTTCAGTTTGTTATAACCGTAGTTGGTTTGTACGCATTTCAACTGAAAATTACAGAAAATGGCATGGACCAAACAAGTAGTGTGTTATATCCGTCATTTCATTACAAATGAAGGCAGTGGGGTAGCCTAATGGATAAAACTAAAGTTCATCACCCTGAAAACCTGTCTTTGCTTCCCCACATGGGTACAATAAGCCCAGTTCTGGTGTCCCCCGTCATGATATTGTTGGAATAATGCTAACCGCTGCATAAAGCCATGCTAACTCATTTGTTACAAGCGTGTTCAGCATAAATGTAGTTCACTGTATGTGAATTTTAGCCAATGTTCAGAACAGAATTTGTAGATATGTGTTGATGTTGAACGTTTCCCAGTGCCATATGTGAAGACACGGCTAGCAACCAGGTGTTTTCCTTCTCTCTGCAGACAAGGGGGATACTTTAGTTTTACAAGACACGTGGAGCCGGCAGAAGATTTCTTTGCTGAAGTTTGGAATTATGAGAAGTTGTGTAACTAATTTGGATTTATTTTTCCTTATCCTGACTCATGCTTATTGCTTGTCTTCTTCTTCTTGCGAACATAGTGGAACACGTGTATCTCCCAATTGAAGTTCCCTTCAATTAAAAAATCACTAATTAGTACTCACCACGAGTTACCTCCCTTCCACAAGCGCGGGAACGAGGGCGCCACCTGAACCCATGTGCCTCACTCTCTCCTTCTTCGCCCAGTGAGCTGGACGTGAGAGCGCCTGTGTCTCCCAACACACTATATCCTTTATTTATATTTAGTTTAGTACCTCTTATATTCAGTTATAGAGGTGTAACTAGTATCCTTATTCAACTTGCATTGATTATTAGTCGTGTTTCTGCTGTTTTATTCACGGTTGGCCGTGTTTGTTCAGCAGTTCACGTTAATGAGAATCTGCACAGGTTGTAAACTACGTTATTCCGCTACCGATCCACATTTAAAATGCCCTAGTTGCATTACTCCATGTTCTATTGTTTCTCGTTGTAAATTATGTATTAATTTACCAATTTCTGCCTTTGATAAATATTTATGTTCCGTTTTGAGGCGGAAGGCAGATAAATCTATAAACAATCTTCAGTCATGGCTAATAGATCAGAAGCTATTATACCCTGTCAACTGTTGACTGATGACCCGCCACCGGCTGGTGGCATGCGGAGATTTCCCTCGGGGATAAGCGTGGGGCCTTGATCCGCTATGTCCAAGCGACCTGCATCTCAAGACATTCCGTCTTCACAGTCTAAGACTAGGAAAGCGTCCACATCATCTCAGCGTGCGCGAACCCCCAGGTCCACAGCCGTCAAAGGAAATCTCTGAAAACTACAAATAATTTTGCCTCCGATATTCTACCTGTCTCAGAATTATGTTTATATGATGATGACATTCGATTATCATTCAGATGCGTCATAAGAAGCGTCCAGTATCTGCTACTGTCACTACAGCACAGATAAACACACAACCAGAGATGCCCTACGCTGGCGCCTGAGTTTACGATTGAGGTCCCGTCACTTTCTGAGAGAGGCCACCCTCAGCGCCAGCGCAGAACCGTCCCAGGCGACCTGGTTAACCAAATCATGAGACTGATGGAGGACCGTTATGGTTTACAGAGGCCCCAGAGCCACGGGCCCCAGAGCCCAACCCTTAATAAGTCATACAGGGCCCCAGAGCCCCCTTGGCAGCGTAGGGCCCCAGAGCCCACTGGCAGCGCCTCGCTTGAAAGGCAACCCAGCCGTAGCAATCACCGCAAAGGAAGTCCCAGGCGCCTCCGCTAAGGAGCTAGAGCCTATCCAGTTGCGAGGACATCGCGGAGAAAGGCTTCAGCGAGCCCACACCCTGTAGAACACAGAGGTCGATTCGCAGCGAAGCAAGCGCTCATATGTCGATTAGGAGACTGACTCGATACATTCGCGAAGGTCGGCGAAGGCTAAGTGGCTCCATATCTACCTGCGCCCAGAAGATTTAGAAGAGCTTGGCGAAGTCCCCAGCGTTTAGCCGAGGATGTCTCCTCCAAGGTCTCCTTACACTAGCCACTTTCGTCAGTCCGTTCACCACAGTCCTCTCATAGATCTTCCTACAGATCTAGGACTCCGACATGTGACCCTACATCAGAGGAAGAAGGTATCATTTTCTCAGATGCTGAGATTAGATACTGGATGGTGAATGAGTTACAACTTGCTTCCCCATCTTCGAAGAACGAGAATTCAACTCAGACTTACCTGATGAAGGATGATGATGTAGACAATATCACCTTACCTCCTATTGATCCGATTGCAGCGGTACCAGCTAATCTGGATACAGCCTGTTCCAAATCTTCAAAGTCAATCTCACACATTTCCCGGTCTTCAATGCCAAGAAATTTGCTGGACACAATATGGACCCCTTTTCAAGGCCCAGGATATTGATGACAACTTTAAATTAATCAGCGTGCCAAGTCCAGAAGTTACAAAGTAGGCGATGCTTAAATTAAACAACTAGATCGCCAGGAGGATGTTCTTTGGATTGAATAGATCTAGAAGCGATTAATGAAACTCTCATCACCAAGTTCAAAGAATTCTACAGAGGAGGAAGATAGAATGATCTACTCAGCTCTACTCATGCAGAAAAGAGACCACCAATTCTTACAGAGCACCTATCAGCGCTTACTGAAACTACTACCATGGCTCGTCGGCAAGGCTTACTAGCCTCCTGCTCTTGGGATAAACAATTTACAGAATCTCTATACACAGCTCCATGGTCATCGCCCTTACTGTTTGGTGGCAACATAGACAAAGGTCTCCAAAGAAGTATCTAAAGACTCAAGAGAGGTTCTTATGATCAGATCCATGGATACCTTAGCGAGCGTCATTAAACAGTCAACACAGAGATACTCGGGGCAAGTCTAAGTTTTGAGGCTACAGAAAGCGGGACAAGAAATTAGCTGCAGCTAAAGATCCCAAGGATTCTTTTAAGTCAGCCCATACAACAAATTTAGGGAGGATCAGCTAAAGGCAGATCATCCAGAGGTGCCGATGGATTTAGGCGATGAAATTCAGGTTCGAACGACTGGAGTCTTCCACCCCAGCCGTTCCAGTACAACCGTCTCAAGTGGGTGGGCGCCTTCAGCTACACTGGGGAAAACTGGGGAATACTACAAGATCCATATGTATCCAACATCCTACAGCACGGATATCTAATACAACTCAAGGCCAAGCCTCGTTAACAGTCAACCCCCAGGGTTCAACGTTCAACCAGCACAACTACCTATGTTAAGAGAAACAGTACTTACTCTACTAAACAAACAGGCCTTAGAAGTTCTGGATCAGCGAAACATCGCACTCAGGTTTCTACTTCCCAGTTTTCCTAGTGCCGAAGAAAAATTCCAAGGAGAAGTTTAGAGTCTCATATACAACATGAGCATCTTCAACAGAGAATATCTATGCAAACCACCAGCGCTTAGCGATGATACACTTACATAACCCGGCATTTTAATTAGTCCCAAAGATTACATGGCCAGCATAGATTTGCAAGGCAGCATATCTACACATTCGATTCATCCCAACTCAAGGAAATATCTAAGATTTATCCTAGGCGGAAACATTACCAATGGAAGGTTCTTCCCTCCGAATCACATCGCCCCTTGGGTATTCACAAGAGTGACCAAGCCTATTGTCTCATACCTACATCGTCAAGGTCTTCCATGGCGCTTTTTACCTAGGCGGCGGTATACAAGTGGATCCAGATCCACAGCGTCTCAGACTACAGCTGAACTTCATAATCAAGCTACTAACACAATTAGGATGGTTAGTAAAATCTACTCAAGTCGGACCTAGAACCAACGCAAGATCAGCAATTTCTAGGTACATGTATACGATTTCTAACAGCTCAGAATCGTATTGTAGTCCCGGAGGACAGATGGATCAAGATCCAACAACTTATTCCTCAAGCCCTACTCTCTCCGTTACCACTACGACAGTGGCAGAGCCTATTGGGACTACTCACATCAGCTCAAGACTTGACAGTCAGAGGCAGGCTTCAATTCGTCCGTTACAAGTCCTCATCAATGCTCATCTCGAGGACCCTCTACCATTCAGTCTACCAGATTATGTCAAACCACATCTACTCTGGTGGACCAAGAGATTGAATGTTTGCATAGGCGTCTCCTTAGTAGTGCGAATCGAACACACATCTCTACGTTAGGCAGCGTCACTACAAGGTTGAGGAGCCCACCTTGCTGGCAGGACAGCATCAGGCCTATGGAGCAATCAAGAGAGCAAATGTCACATAAATCTGCTAGAGATGCAAGCAGTCATAAGCGCCATAAGTCACTGGAGCAACATACTACAGAGCGGCTCAGTTGATGGTTCACACAGACAATTCAACAGTGGCGTTTTTATGTGAACAAACAAGGTTCAACAAGGTCACAGAACCTACTGACTCGATGTTTCAGACTGTTCGATTGGCCGACAATCTAAACATACACGCCAGAGCTTGCCACATTCCAGGAGCAAAGAATGTATTAGCAGGCGCTCACCGGCCACACCAACCGTCGCCCGACAGAATGGATGCTCCACACACAGATATTCAATCAAATAATCATGGAAATAGGATCTCCACTGATAGACCTATTAAAAGCCACTTTCGATTCAACAAGCAACTGACAACATTCATGTCGCCAGTGCCAGACCCACTAGCATGGGCAGCGGGCGACTAAGCATATCGTGGGAGAGACTCAGCGTGGCACGCTTTCCGCCTCCAGCGTTGATTCCACAAGTCTTACAGAAAATCAGTCAAGCATGAGAGCCTCCATCTGATTTTATTAGCGCCCTACTGGCCAGCAAGAACTTGGTTTCCAGATCTCATTCAAGTAATGGGAAAACCAATTCTTCAGCTCCCCACAAGCGCCAATCTATTGATACATCCGCACACCAAACAAGTGCCACGAAACACCAGAAGCATTCCAACTTCACGTATGGATTGTATCAAGGCATGTCTGAATAAGAGAGGTTATTCTACCAGAGCGACTAAAGCGGTCACGCTTTGCACTCGTAACTCAACTCGTGGCAATGCGATGACAAATGGCACAGTTTTGTCAATTCGGCTGCTAAGAAAGTTTACAGCCAGATATGCTGCACATCCTCAAGTGGCAGATTTCTTATGTTATCTACGACGAGCTAAGAATCTTAAAGGCTCAACCTTGTCCACTTATCTTGCAGCCATAAGTTCTGTCATAACTATGCGACGGCGTCAAGTTAACAAAAAACATCAGAGTTACTTTCGCTTTGTTCTGGCGTTCGATTGGAGGATCAGAAGCGGAGTTTCACGCTCCAGCCTGGGATCTAAATATAGTGCTCCAACACCTCACTTTAGTGAGGCTTATGAACCATTGCTATCTACATCGTTTGAATCACTGACCCACAAAACCTTTTCCTGTTGGCACTAGCTACGGCCGCCAGGATGTCAGAGATTCACGCATTGGATTCCTGAGAGAACACGCTTTGATGATATTCATAACATCGCTCATCTGGGACTTCGGCTGGGATTTTATGGCGAAAACCAACTGCCAGGTCAACCAGACAGATTATTCCACGTCCCAGCTCTCTCATCCATGCTTGGACGCTGATACGATGGATCTATAACTATGCCCAGTGAGGGCACTGAAAATATATCTCCAACGATCCAAACAGAGCAGAGGGAAATTCAAGAGATTATTTATCCCTATATCTACAGCTCACGCCAGATCGAAGTCTCACGTCTACTCACGATCTCTATCTGGATCAGAACTGTCATACTACGTGCCTACAAGGCTGCACGGGACTCGACCCTCCAAGAGCTTCTAATCCTCACCGAAATTAGTGCTAGCCTCAACTCTCGCTCTACATGGGAATTGCTTGTTGAATACCATAATGGAGGATGTTTCTGGAGATCCGATATGGTGTTTGCCAACCACTATCTGAGAGATATCACCACCGAGGGCGTCTCAGGTATCCACCATTTCCGGTCCCATGGTCCTCGCTCAACAGTTGACAGTTCCATCGAGAAGATAAGTCTATCTTACAGATTTTATACTTATCTGATAACAGTACTAATAGCTACATGCTATCTATATATATTTTGCTTAAGTTTAATTTATTATCTTAAGCTCAGTACTATGGTTTTATATCATACTATATATAGCTTACAACTCCTAGGAGTTTTGCTACTATATATATATGTTCAGCTTAAGTTTCATCAATCCTTAAGCTCAGTCATATGGTCATATGCATAAATGTATTAGCTAACAAACTCTAAGGAGTTGGTTACTATTATACAACTTAAGTTATAATTATATCTTAAGCACAGTACTATACTATTATAGCTTAAATATATGCATATCTTAAGCTTAATACTTTTGGTTAATTTATAAAAGTATCCACTATAAACTCACAGAAGTTTATACTATCACATTAATAGCTTCAGCTTACATTAATGTTGTATATACTTTATCATATTCAATAAATTGTAATAACCTTTATATGGCAGCTGATAGAAGTTAAACAGCAGGAATTCATCAGTTCAGTGCCTTTATGAAGTTCCCATAGGGTTATTACAATCATACAGTTCAAATCACTAATTATTAAAATCCAAAGTATATATATTCCCACCTCCTTTTCCGTCGGTTTTACAAGCAATAAGCATGAGTCAGGATAAGGAAAAATATGAAATTTTTAGAGTAAAATTATATATTTATACTTATCCTGAGGTAAGCCCTCCGTCCTCTCCACTTAAAACTTTGGATTTCTTTGGAAAAATAAAGTGTCCGGACTCGAAACAAAAGGAGAGAGTGAGGCACATGGGTTCAGGTGGCGCCCTCGTTCCCGAGCTTGTGGAAGGGAGGTAACTCGTGGTGAGTACTAATTAGTGATTTTTTAATTGAAGGGAACTTCAATTGGGAGATACACGTGTTCCACTATGTTCGCAAGAAGAAGAAGACAAGCAATAAGCATGAGTCAGGATAAGTATAAAATATTAATTTTACTCTAAAAATTTCATTTTTGTCATTTAAGTTCATTCCTGGCTATTTTGGTTTCTGAAATACTAGTAAAGTGTATGTGCAGCTGCCACTATGTGTTGTAAACTTTGTTGCTAAGAAAGATGTAGATGTTGCATGTTGTTTTGGTTGGAATTTTGCTGTAGAAGTTGTCCCCTTGCTTGACATCCAATCCTCAGTATGAGAGCAGGTGAAATAAGAAATTTGTTGGTTACAGTGCTTAGGGTATGCCGTTTTATTGTTTCTGTTGTTTATGCATTCAATCACTGGTTCGTCTGGTCCAGATTTGATCATGTAAAGTGTTTATTTAATATAGCATCATTTACTCTAATACAACACCCCACTGCATCAAGAGCTGACAACACCTCAATAGAATTTGATGGAACCCAGACTGAACCGTGACCTCAAAATCTAAATTAAATATTTTATTAAATATATTTTTTGTTTTTGTTGAAAAATCACAAGACAGAACACAAATGTGAGATAGATAGTTCACCATTTGTGGTGTAGATGCCATTGCGCTCTGAAACAACAGGAAAATATGTTGACGTTCCAAGAGAACTCACTCCTTATTGTGGGGCGGTGGGGTAGCTTTGTGGTTAATACGTTCGCTTGTCACACCAAAGACCCGGGTTTGATTCTCCACATGGGTACAATATGTGAAACCCATCTCTGGTGTCCCCCCCCGTGTTAGTGCTGGAATATTGCGAAAAAGGAAGCGTAAATTTAAACTCACTCACTCACTCACACTCTTTAGGATGTGTCAACAGACCTTCAGTCAGGGATATTATGGAGTGAAAAGTCTGATTTTTATTATATTGATTCATAGTTGGCTGTGAAGTTACTGTAATTATTACCAGCTCTCTTTTATTTCAAAGATAACGTTATTGTAAATTCTTTGCAGATTAAGTGCATTGAGTAAAAACAAGACTTTTTTTAGTTTGCTTCAACTGAATTATGTTCTTTGCTTATAAGCATAATTGATGACAAACTGCGGCTTCTGCATGTGGTTTTGTTATTCTTCAGATAGATAAAATATAGTTCATAGCTGATAACTTCATCTAAATATTGTATGGATCTGCTTAAGGGAAATGAGAAGATACCTGGAAGTAGAATACTAGTTCTGTATTACTATTGATGAGCGAGAGTTGGTTATAACTGCTGAAGGGGCGGTGGGGTAGTCTAGTGGTTTAAGCGTTGGCTCGTCGCCAAACTAACGGGTTAGAATCCCCACATGGGCATAACGGTGTGCCGGTAAGATATGAAGGATTATGACATGTGTATTGAGGTTGCTGGTGAGATATCTAAGGATTATGACAATACGCCAAACTCAGTCATTATAACTGCTGAAAGATTATGACACAGAACATGTTAGGTTGTTGAGTTTGTAAAGGAGATATGAAGGAGTTTAAGTAATATGACGTTAACTGTTGAGGTTGTTATGATACATACCCTGAGAAGTGAGATATGAAGGATTATGAGACATGTTAACTGTTGAGGTTGTAAAAGTGAGATATGAAGGATTATGACACATGTTAACTGTTGAGGTTGAAAGGGTGAGATATGAAGGGTGAGATATGAAGGATTATGACACATGTTAACTGTTGAGGTTGTAAGGGTGAAATATGAAGGATTATGACACATGTTAACTGTTGAGGTTGTAAGGGTGAAATTTGAAGGATTGTGACACATGTTAACTGTTGAGGTAAGGGTGAGATATGAAGGATTATGACACATGTTAACTGTTGAGGTTGTAAGGGTGAAATATGAAGGATTATGACACATGTTAACTGTTGAGGTTGTAACGTGAGATATGAAGGATTATGACACATGTTAACTGTTGAGGTTGTAAGGGTGAGATATGAAGGATTATGACACATGTTAACTGTTGAGGTTGTAAGGGTGAAATTTGAAGGATTGTGAGACATGTTAACTGTTGAGGTTGTAAGGGTGAAATATGAAGGATTATGACTCTGCAAGGGTAAAGTTTAAGTAATACATATGAGACAATTATCAACAATCTATCTCCATTCTGTTATGATACATACCCTGAACTTATTCACATTCTTTCAGAAGTGATGTCACTGTCCATTTACCTTTGTCTTACTCAAAATTGTTCTTGTGTGACAGTAATTTTCACTCAGTGCTTTTTAATAGGGTCCAAACGATACATAGGGGCGGTGGAGTAGCCAAGCAGTTAAAGCATTCACTAGTCAAGCCGAAGACCCGTGTTCGATTCCCAACATGAGTACAATGTGTGAGGCCCATTTCTGGTTTTCCCCAACCGTGATATTGCTAAAAGCAATGTAAAACCATACATACTCACTCACTAACTCACCCACCCACCTAAACCCAAGTTTACAGTAGCAAGCGGGTTCAAGGTATTTATGATGATGAACAGGAGCTGTGTTAAACTGGTTAATTTAGAATGCGATAGATTATAACTTTGGAAAGTAGGGAAGCACCTGTTATTTGGTCTCTCCTGCTCTAGATCATATTATCTGCCGAGTGATTGGGGTAGCCTAGTGGTTAAAAGTTGGCTCGTCAGTCGATGAGGACCGAGGTTCGATTCCCACATGGGTACAATTAGATCATATTATCTGCCATCATTAATAGACAGAAATGGGCGAGTTACTGTCACTGTCAGTTTTACCACTGGCACACCAACCATATCTGAAACACTACAAATATACGGACATGCAGGAAAGAGCATTAAAACCAGAAGACACCATCTAAAGATCTTCTCAGATTTCAATGTTATCACGTCATCTGAAAAGAAGCATTTAGTGTTAGAATACCTGTTTTGGATTTTTGTTGTTTCGTTCATCATACAGAGTGCTTGATTCGAATGTTTATTTTGTAGGTCGATGATGTATTCAGGTGAACTAAAGTTTGAGAAGAGAACGACGTCTGCTCAGATTGAGGGAGGAGTGCACGGCCTACACAAGTAAGTGGCTCTGTCATTACAGCGATTACATACCTGTAAGGAAGAAAAGATGCCAATACAATGTTACATTTTAACTCACTACATACATGTGTCTTGGTACTTGATAACAAGCTTTGGGGTGGTAACCACGAAACGGGGTTAAAGTTAAATAAAGAAAAAAATATTTTTCAACAGTAAATACTTAACAGGACTACCTACAAATGTGTAAAATTCAGCTTTACATTTTTATCAAGTCAGTTTTACAAAAGTCACGTGTGGCCTCACACTGTGTCACACTCAACATGATTGTTTCACACTGTCGGATCAGTTTTAATTTTACATCCCAATCCTGATTGTCACAGTGTGGCGATTAGTGTGTCATTGTGCCCAGGCACTAGGCTGTTGCTCATTCTATCAACCGCTGGGTCAATTGACCCATGGGGCAGTGGGGTAGCCTAGTGGTTAAAGTGTTCACTTATCACCCCGAAGACCTGGGTTCGATTCCATACATGGGTACAATGTGGGAAGACCATTTCTGGTGTCCAACGCCATGATATTGCTGGAATATTGCTAGCACCATACTCACTCACTCAAATCTAAGGTTTGCCTCCTAGTTAAGCTCACTCACTCACTCACTCACTCACTCAAATGACCCACACATTTATTACAGGTTACAGGCTTAGCTTAGTGCTAAACATCATTATATTTACTGAATTTCCCTTTCATTCATTATGCATGATTAACATTTCTAGTAAGTGTATATTTTTATTGTTTATATTTTGTTATTTCTATTTTATCTTTTTTGTTCTAGCTATGAGAAGAGGTTGTACTGAGCCATAATGCCTTCCAAACTCACGATTATCTTGCTCAACATTGCCATGCCGACAAAGGCCACAGCCATGGTCATCTCCAGGATGTAGCAGGGGTAAAAGCATTTACTAAAAGATCACTTAATATGGGCCATCTCTCAGCATTATTGTTGAGTTTGAACTGGAAAACAAGCCATGCAGATCTGTTGTTTGGGGTTTCTGGTTTCCTGACTAGTGACAAGAAAGCTACTAATTTCCTGACAACTAGTGAAAAGAAAGTTACTAGATTCCTGACAACTAGTGACAAGAAAGCTACTAGATTCCTGACAGCTAGTGACAAGAAAGCTACTACTTTCCTGACCACTAGTGACAAGAAAGCTACTAGATTCCTGACAACTAGTGACAAGAAAGCTACTACTTTCCGACAACTGCAAATGCTTTATTTGTTTAATATTAGGTCTTCCTCTGATGCAGTACCTCTCTGTGTGAAAAGAGGATAAAATCTCAATAGAAGGTCATGTGATGTGAGGTGTACTTTCAAATCAGCCAATCAGATAGACCGAGCAGGGTATCTGATTTCTGTATCTTGAAATCAAACTTAATCAGTCAGTTCCGAATGCATATTCACCTGTTCGGTTGTTTTGAATATTTCATACAGCACCATGACATCTACACCAAAAATGGGTGTACAATTGTGGTGATTTTCTTTTGATAAAATAATTCTGAATTGGAGAATGAAATGAAACTGATCTGTTCTTGAAAGTTGACATCTTATGGGCTACACAACCCATCCATCCTTCATTTACATTGGGCTTTCACAGCATCAGGCCATGAAGGCTCTCAGATGGTCACACAGAGGGGTAGTGTCGAGTAAAGCGATCCGATTTGGATACCATTGATGTATGTCGCCATCAAATGCCTGGGGTGTCGATGGAGCCTGACAGGAAGCTGCAATAATCGCATCCACTTGTCAGACCAATGTATTCCAAGTATTATCATGATTCTGCCATTGAGTGTTCAGTATATTTTTACTTTGCTTATTTTTTGGGGCATTTTAAAAGTTAATTGTAAGGCATGCCAAGAGCAGAGAAATATTTGTTTCCAGCAATATCCCATTAGTTTGGGATTATTTCCATTTAATGTTATTGAATTCTGCTTGAGAGTATATATCAGCATACTAATCCGGTAGTGAGTTTAGTGGTTCATCTGTTAGGTACGGATACAGTAAAACGGTAAGTTTGGAAGTGAAGTAGTTTATTTAGTTCATATTAACTGCTGATATTTAGTAAAGGAAGTATCAAACTTTTCACGAAATGCTAATATTGTGTACAGTTACTCTATACAGCCAAATACTTATATCAGCTAACATGTTGGGGATTTTATATTTTAAATTTGGAATTTTGTGTAATTTTTTTGCTGGAGACAAATGATTGTTTGCTGCTTGTCTTGGCCTTCTAATATATTTTACACAATATGCCATTCCTTTGCTAAAAAGTGTCTGAAATGTCTAGGGCATGTTTGTCTAATTAGAATGGAGATACAATTTACTGGATAATTAAGGATGGTCATTTTATGAAATACTCCTGTATGCATGGAGAAAATATGAATTGGATGGGTGTGACTCTTTATTTCTTGAAATGAAGCTTTACAAGTTTGCATATCTACTTTATGTATTACAATTTATGTTCATGACTGTCACAAGGTAGTTTAGTACAGCCGTACTATGTTCCAATGATTTACGCTTTGTGTCACAGCAATATTTTTGTTTACTATTTCAGGGTATGTGTATAAGTTTTGTAATCTGTATCGAATAGATTCCTGTTAACTTGGTTGAATCTTGGAGTTCTGTATGATCACAAATTCCTCGATGTGTTTCTATCATTTCATGGGGCTGAGGTCACTGGAAGGGGTTTCTTGTGGCACCAATTAGCTGTGTGTCACTTCAAATGTGAATACTGTTCTCTTAGTTGCATGAGGTACACAATAGAGCCGCCAATCGACAGGGTTCGTTTTTTGTTTTTGCAGGGTTTTTTTAAAAAAAAAGTCATTATCATCCAAATACTCAACAAAACTGATTTTTTCATTGCTAAATGAAGACAATATAACACCTTCTGGAAAAGCATTGAGTAATTTGTCATAAAGTAATAAATTTCAGTGTTTCATTCACCCAATTCTCAGAAATGTCTTGAAACATGCTTCAAGGTCAAGGGTTGTATCAGCTTATGATGTCAACTACTGTATAGGTTGGTGGTCATGATGTCAGTCACTGGATTGTCTGGTCCAAACTCAATTATTTACAGACCTCTTGTCACACAGGTGGAAGATTGTGTATGTCGTTAGAAAGTGGGCAAGCAAATAAACTTTTTCTGTGATTAGTTTGGATTTTTTGAGGGCAGTGTGTGAATATGTTTTTAGTTTTTTAGCAATATCAGAGTGAGGGACGCCAGAAATGGGCTTCACATATTGTACCCATTTGGGGAATCATCGAACTTTGGCATCAGAGCGAACAATTTAATCACTGGGCTACCCCACTGCCCCTCAGAGGAAGTTATCAATGAAGCTGTAGCTAATTGGATGATCTTATTATTGATACTCCTTCTCAATTCATTTTCTTTTAAAGTTTAGTTTGGTTTCTATGGCAACCATGTTTAAAACGATATCTGTAGCTTTAGGATCTATATTTTCACTTAAATTTGATGAATGTTTGTGAATGGCTTTTAGTAGGTCTTCTGTGGGTAACACTTTCTTCAAGAAATCTGTATTAGGATTTATTTGTTTAGTTCCAGTCCTGAGCTGATAACCGTCCGATGTCTTTTGTTTTTTGTGAACAATTCCTTGGCGTGTTTTACCATTGCAGATCCCAAAACACAATGTAATTGGTGATCGTCCCAGCATCAAAGTGCAAATACAATATTTATTTCATTTCATCGCTTTATTTGAAGTTTTTGAACTTCCAGTGTGAATTTATGTGACTTTTTTGCCAGGTAATAAGCATACCTGTTTTGTTTATGATCACTGTGGCACAATGCTCTCTATGAACAATCATGTGATGTTAACTTCAGCTTTTATGATGAAATCATACAAAGTTGCATTTATGGTCATTGCAGAGAATTTGTATGATGTTATTCATTTTTTCCATAAAAAGTGCTCTTGACTATGTTTCCTGCAATATACCTGTGGGTTATTTTTTCTTTCTTTTTTGAAAAGATTTCATACAAAACTTAATACTGATGAGGATTCCAGATTCAGGACCATTTGGAGAACTTTTCAACAGGTTACATTCCTTGGCTTAAACTGCATATTAATAATAAAAGTTAAAATGGTTTTATTATCATGGAGTAGTTAAGAATGAATTCTCTATACCACTCTCCACAAACTCTAGACTTGTATAACAAATGTGGCTGTACTTTGTAAGAAGGCTCATTGGGTCATCTAATGGTCAGTTGATGATTTATGACCAGTGTTTCTGATCATCATGTCTGTTGCATTTTCCAGAGTTTTGTAGATATAGGATCATTGTATCCTGTTCTTGGCCAGGGATTGCACGTTTGTTGCATATCATTTGCATATTCACACCTGGACGATGACTTCTTGTTACTAATGCACTTGTGCGAAACATTGTGTTCATGCCGCAACATGCTGACATCTCCTTTGTAAAAACTGCAGCATTAGGGCTTTGGGCTGTTGTACATCAACCACTGATCTTCCTGGCCCAGAGAAATATTTACAAGCAATCACAAAACAGCTGGAATATTGGCCACTGGAAAAAACTAATTCCTCTGCTACTACTGTAAAAAACATTACTGTTGATTCTAAAGTCTACATTGCATTCTTAAATAGAAACACATTGACACACCTACTATGTCAATGTAATTTGTTTGTAAAATAAATTAGTTTAATTTTAAAAGATATTTCAGTAATACTTTATACATTGTATATTCATATTCATTATATATATCAGTCTCTAAATATTTGGAGTGACTTTAAATATTAACTCACTCATTCACTAAATATTTGGATATCCATCACCAGCTCAGTTTTTAAAGATGCTCAGTTTGTTGTTGCCTGACTGAAATTGTTCAAGTGGAATTTTTTAACAGCTCTAGATGAAAAAAATATGATGGAGAATCTGATGAAAGACACAGGGAGCAATCATTGTACTGTACAAATCCTGTGCTGTGGAATACAATGCTTAGACTATTGTACATAGATAATGTTACATACCTTTGTGTTGTTTCATACAAGTGATGTGTATCTATTTTATGGCAGTATTGTTCATGTTCCTGAAGTGTGGAACAAATCTCATGTTCCAGCAAATTATGTATATTTGCCTACTGTGTACAAGTGATTGTATACTCAACCTTAAAAAAAAATTACAATAAAGATAGTTTAGAATGTTCTTCTCGTTTTTGTTCAGTTATTGGGAGGACTACTCCAGTCATCTCTTAGTAACACAATCGTTGATTGACCTGATGAAGGAGTAAGAATATTAGGGATGTCACGATACATAAGTTTCATGAATCGATACCCATGTCACAATTCGATACGTATCACGATACCTATTTTCGCGGCATTATTGCGTAAATTATTTATTGATTTTGTACATAACATACAGGTTTCACTTACTTTGTACATTAATTCACATTGTTCATGCTATTCCCAAAAAATCATCATCATCACACACACACGCACGCACGCACGCACGCACGCACATAACTTGTGACTAGGCCCCTAGCTGAATTCCTACTTGGGGCCCGTGTTTAGGTCAACTTCATGGGGAAAATGGATGTTGATATTGCTGCAACAAGCAGTACAATACCAGATACATATCCTGTGCATTATCTGAACCATGCGTGTAGCATATATAAAACGAGCTGTTGCCAAGTGCTGATGTCAAATCTCATGGGTTAATACCATTGATGAATTGCATGCTATTAACAAACTGAGCTTAACCGGTAGGTGGTCAGGCTCGATGACTTGGTTGACAGATCATCATATCCCAATAGCATAGATCGATGCTCATACTGTTGATCACGGGATTGTCTGGTACATACTCGATTATTTACAGACTGACTCCATGTAGCCGGAATATGGCTGAACAATACAAACGATTAACCACTGTAACCAGTCAAGACTTTCAAAACCGAAGACGGGGAGACGGTGTCAAGTCAGCAATATATGAAGCGCTCTTACAATGTCCATGAAGAGATTTTACTGTTGTGCAACACATTATTATTACCTGGTCGACTGGTGGAAGGTGAAGACAACCTGTTTCTACTGATTCTATGTAATTCCAGAAATCATAACGTAAACCAGAGAAAAAGGGACAACTAGAAA